ATCATTTTTGTTTTTTTTTTTGACATTATTAGATTAAATTTTAAAAATAATTCAAATAAAAACACACATTAAATTTAAAACATTAAATGAAACCACATTACATTAATTTTAAAACACGCATATTAAAATCCTAACATACTAAAAAAAACTAAATTACTTAAAAAAACATTTAAAAAAATCCAAAATTACTTATTTATCTTAAATTACTTAAACAAACATAAAACATACCAACTAAAACATAAATATTAGAACCTACTTTCCATATTTATCGCGGACTTGTTGGATTTTGAGAAATGTCGCAATATTTTCCGAGTCGAGATCGGGTTGGGGCTTTGTGTTTATGATTTGAAGATCGGTAAGAACGATTTTTTGGCGACGAGATTCCTCCGTTGATTCGTATTTTCTTTCTAGAAAACTTAGAGTTTTATCTATGGATTCCACAAGCCCGTCGTCGCTAGTTGTGGTTGCTTTTCCCCTTAAAGACGTCGCCCGTTTTGCTTTGTCTCTTCCCGGTGGTCAACGGAGTTGGACTTCCGGTGGACCCTCTCAATCGGCAACATCGACGTCATTATTGAGGTCTAGCCCAAAACCCGCGTCCAAATCAGAAGTTTTTGGTCTTTTGTTGGAGCCGGTGGTCGAGTCCGAATGCGATGTCTCCGGATTAAGGTCCCATTTTGGACCGTTACGGCAAACTTCCCACGCTTTTTGGTGACCAAATGGTTTACCATTGTTGGTAACTTTGAATTGGTAGCACACGGTTGATAAAATGTTGAAATCATTAGAACCACTTTTATGCATATTTTTTAGATTTTCAAATATGTCATTAAACTTTGTGTAAATCGTGCGAAGATCACACCATTTTCCGTTGACCGCGTCATACGACCGATCCGTTTGCCTTCCAAGTAGCGCGTTAAAGTGATCCAAAACACGATGCCAAAAACTTTCTCTTATTTGCGCGTTGCCTCTTCTCGAGTCACATGATATGAAAATCCAAGCTTTTGCTAAAGATTCTTCCTCTTCTTCGTTCTAAGCCAATGCTTTCTTTTTCCCTTTTGTTTTTGGTTGCCTTCTTCGAGATGGTTGTGGTGTTTCTTGGACCCGTTCATCGTCGTTGTTGAGGTTCACAGTTTGGGATTGAGATAATGAGACTTGAGATGATTGTGTTTGAAATTGTGGAGAAATTTGTTGTTGAAAACCTTGGAATTTGGGTTGAATGAATTGGGGTTGAGTGAATTAGGGTTGAATGAATTGTTGTGGTCGTTGTTGGAAGAATTGTGGGTTGTATGGAATGTTAGTAAATAAAGGTTGTTGTTGGATTGGAGAATTCAACAATTGCATATATGTTTGATAATCACTTAGAGTGTTTGGAGTCGGTGAGGTATTTTGGTTTGGGTCCATTTTTTGAAGAAAAGAGAAAGAAAGTAGGAGAAGTTTTTTGATTTAGAAGTGTAAAATGAAGATAAAGTGTAGTGTGTAATATATATATATATATATATATATATATATATATATATATATATATATATTGTGACATCCCCAAATTTTTCGGCCAGAAAAGACCGATTTAAGTTATGCTTTTTAAAATAAAATCAGAGTAATCCTTTTAAAAGATGTTGTGGAATTTGTTCCCAAAACAAAACATGATAAAAGTTTATCAAAACCTTTCTTTAAGAAATATATAATTTCCTTTTATATCAAAACCTCGGGATGTCATGTTCCGATACAGATCAAAAACATAAACAAGACATTATAAGCCTTACAACAGTTATTTACAACTACTGGCCTATAATTCAAAAATCACTCATCATCATCATCCGACTATGCTCGGGGTCCACTACCTGTAATATAAAAAGCTGAGTAGGTCAGACTTGGAAGCCTGATGAGCATATAGGGTTTTCAACCCACAATAATTAAATTTACTATGCTTAAACATCAACAATCAACCAAATTACCCCAACCCCATTATCTTATTTATTTCTTAAGGATTTACCCTAAGATTCAACTATCACTCATTCCTAAGGATTCATCCTAAGGAATAGGAACGAAGTCACATCGTCTCCAGGGTTTATACAACAGGCACTAAGTCCATAGCTGCCAGGGTTTATACAACATGTGCTAAGTCCATAGCTCTTATTTATCGACAGTATTATTCACGGGAATCCCCCCTACAATACATGTCAATGAGTTTTTAGAGTACAGCTGCTGAACATATAGTTCACACACTTACAGGTTGCGAGCCTGCTAGTGTTCCACAGATCATCTAGAATAGTCCATGGTTGTCATCCATACTCTGCTGAATGACGGGGGCCAACGTTTGGGTAAGTGATTCTCTCATAATTCACCACTCACCCTCAACTCATGATCTATATCACTGATCATCTCATTTATCCAACTCATCTTTCATCACACACCCACTATTTCATCTACCCATGTTTTACCCAACATTTTTTGTAGATAAAAATACATATACAGTTTAAATTATTTAAAAACCTGTATAAATCATTCCTTCAACATCCATCTCAAATAAACAAACAATATATATTCACACAGCACGTATTTTATATAAAATACTTCATATTTATGTGTAATGTGAAAGTAACTACACACTCACATGATTTAATGATAATCGGGCAACACCTCGTTTCCTAAAACGATCGTTTCTAATAAAACCGGGAGTTTTATTGATAAACCGGGAGTTTTATTGATAAACCGGGCTCTGCGAGGGTCGGACTTCAAAACCGAAAATATAAATTTCTCGGGCACTTCGGGGCGTATTTCGGGTGTTTGGTATAATACCGGGGCTTTGGGGGAAGTTGGAATGAAAGAAATATGGGTTTAGGGGTGTAAAATGACAAGTTTCCAAAATATACCCGGGAGGTCTCACACCCTTCTATTTATAGGTGCGAGGCTTCTGATCGGACGGCTGAGAGGAATCCACGCGGTAGCAGATGCGAGGAGAAGGCAGGTGCCTCGCACGTGCGAGGGGTGAGCTGTTGCCCTCTGATTGGACCGAGGTCTAGGTCCGAGGGTTCGGTCGTGGCGCTATGTGCGAAGCTCGGACACGTCAAGCAAGGGCACGCGTCGGACTCCTACTGGACCGCGCTTCAGATGCGAGGGCAGGCGACACGCCTCGCCAGCTGGCTTCGGTGACTCAGCATTTTCGGACAAGTGACGTGTTATAAGCGAGGGTGACGTGGCCGAAGTCCCACCTTGCGAAATTTCTCGGATTTGGCATTTTTTCTCGATTTTTGTGCCAAAACTTCTAAAATCCATAACTTTCGCATACAGGCTCCGTTTTTTACGTTCTTTATATGCACGCGTAGGTAAAGTTATGCTCTACAACTTCCGTTTAGACTTCGTCGGCTAATTTTGACTTTAATTTTTATATTATTATTTTTAACAGACCGAGACAGGAAATCCGTTAAAAATTCATAACTTCTTCATCCGACGTCCGTTTTCGTCTGTCTTTTTACCGCTGTACTACTATTGACGAGACCTTCGATTCTCGTTTAGGCCGTGTCGGCTAAAAATCACTCGATCTAAAATTCGAGTTTTTTAGTTGTCTACTGCTAAGCTGAAACTTAGAAAAATCATAACTTCCTCATACGAAGTCAGATTTGGACGTTCTTTTTATACATACTCTCGGTTTAACGAACACTACGACTTTCGTTTAGATCACTAAGGCTAAAAAGTAGTTTATCAAAAACTCACTTTTTACGTCATTCGGCACCATGCCGGTTTTGTCGCGAAACTTCGATAGGTCATAACTTATTCGTTATAACTCGGATTTCGGTATTCTTTATATATCTGTAATCCTTGTACGACCACTACAACTTTCTTAATAGATATCGGCTTTATCTAATATTTATTTTCGATGCTTTATTTTATTCTTAATTAATTAAACCCTAATAATTAAGCATAAAACATATAATTTTCACATAATATTCACATAACTCTTTTTCATTTCTTCAAAATGAGTTACAAAGGTTAACCTAAACTATCACGTCAATATTAATGCCTAGCCTAGAAACACGGACGTTATATATATATATATATATATATATATATATATATATATATATATAAAAGATGTTATTTAAATTTAAATATTTTATTTATTTATTTTTGTAAACTCCATAAACGGTCGAAAAAGGACTGTTACACACTCTCTTTCATCGCAATTGGTCGTCTTCCTCCGTGGAAAGGGCTACGCCACAAGGCACCTACGTGCACCTGGGGTGGTTCACGCGTGGGTGGCCTTGCCACGTCACCTCTACGCGTCTTCTTCCGCTCCCATACCGCCCGGCCTAAGTTGCTAGTGACTTGGAAGAAGATAGAGGGGAAGGAATCTCTCTCTTCCTTCCACTTTACTGAGGCTTTTTTTTTTTTTTTTTTGAATTTTGACCATCAAAATTTACAATTTTACGTTTTGACCGTCAAACAAAATCTGGTTAGGGTGTTTTTGTTATTTTGTGAGGAATCTGATATAAATGATACCATAGTAAAGTCAGCCGACATTATTTGAAAATTTCATAGTTGAATAAACATTATTGATACGTTTTAACATACTTGAATGTCCTTTATGTGTATTGCCTCCAGAAGACCAAAACTATATAATATTTCTTTTTCTACAAAAAATCCCCACCCATCATTTTTTTTTTTTTTTTTTGCCTCTGGTAATGCTTGACAACAGTTGTGTTGCTGAAGTTTCAAGCTTACTTTTACACCCCTTTTTCCTTTTCTGATCACTTACTCATTTAGAATCATTGTGTTGTCATTTATATTCTTATCGTGAATTTATAACTTTGCTTTTCTACTTTCAGAAGCCATATATCTTTACCTTTTAAATCACTTTCATCAATCTTGTTAATGAAACACATCGGTCATATTTACTTGATAAAAATCCATTTACATTAGAAAAAAAACATTCTGTCACATAGTTTTTCAAAAACAACTATTTTTAACACAAAAACAACATTTATATTAATTAGATTTATACAAACATGACACTATCCTCAAGTTATCTACATCTGAAAGCACAAGATGCTTCAAAACATTCAAAAACAACCCTAGCAGATGAAAAAACACAACCCTAAACTAACATTCTCTAAGTGAATGAATATAAAGTAAGTTTAAGTTTTTATATATGGAATGGATAGAGGCATCACCAATCACCAATTTGTTTAATTCTGAGTGTCAGATATATAAGTATAATAGTTCCCAAGCTTGACCTGAAAGAAAAAAAAAAAAGTAAATACAAAAACAAACATGTTAAGGCTACAAAATTAATTCTCTTTTTTCATTCGTTGATGTATAGTCTTATTAGTTTTAAACATAATGTTGAAATAATAGCATAATATGTAGATTATCAACTTACAATACTGAGAACAGAAGAAGGACTTTTCTTGAATTGAAGGAAGAAGAACGCTTGTATTTCCTCATTCTGGGTGCCTCTACATCAAGGAATCAAATGAATTAAGCCCATAATCATATAACAGATTAAAATCCACCATTTATGATCCATGAATTCTAATTTGGTAGTTTAAAAAATGGATATAAATTAATATGGTGAGGTACCTCGAATAGAGAACTTGGGTAAGATCAGGTTGTGATTCATCAGCAACTGCATGGAGATGGAGATAATTAATGCTTATATAGACCAAATTGAACAAACAGTATGAATATTCATATTATATAATTTTGTTGACTCACCATCTGTCCTTCCTCATTCTTTAAGTCACCAACAGTTTCTTGATTGATTCCAGGTGTCTCTGACTTCCCCTTCTCGATATCTACATCTTTTTCAATGCATACAGAATAAGGATCTTCTACATTTTCCACCATTTTCATGACAAAGGTTTGGGTATTCATGAGTTGATCATCCAAATCCAATGAAAGATGACTTTTAATGAGCATGTAATCTTCCATGGAGGGAGCTTGATAAAGCAACAACAGTACTACAAGAATCACAATCCTGCATCCATCCAAAATAAGAATTTCCTCAAAATTGGATATATGGTTAAGAATGTTCAGATTTAGCACTCATATAAGGTGAAGGTGAGGCCATAATAATATGATTGCAGAATGTATTATGTATACGATGATCGTAGACGTAGTTATTACAGAATGGCACCAGCTGACATAATACTGAGCCACTATCTCTATCACAATCGTAATTAATATTCATCGGACCCACAATCTCTTGAAATCAACCACCAAGACCTATCATACTGTCTACTGAAAACCTGAAATGAATACCGAGTCAAAGAGAATCGATTGGACCGAAATGAGGCGCAATTTCCAGTAACAATTTGGGGAAAACTCTATCAATTAGGAAATACTAATTATATTCAATTACCTTTACGGAAGCACGTTTCCCAATAACATGCAGTTTGCGATTTCGATTACGATGAAGAAGAAGAAAGTTAGACTTAAGTTAAGTTAAGAAGGCAGATACATACTGCATCAGTTTAAGAAACGAGAATCGGAAATGCAGAGCATGAGACGTTGAATTCACCTATTGTGTAGAGTGTAGAGTTGACTGGCATGGATTAGAGAAGGTGTAGTGTAGGTAGCTTGAAGTTTAACCTAACGAAAGAGATAAACAGAATGTGTGATGAAGCTAGAGATGAGTGACGAGGAATACATGAAATATGTGAAGACGATGTGTTTGTTGACGGTGTTGGTTTGGTGTGAGAATTTTGAGAGGCAGATAGAAAGAGAGAAAGAAAGAACAGAATGGTCCGTGGGACTACAGTAGAAATAATAAATAGAGTAAATTACATTTAAATCATTTCTATAGTTTAATTTTTCTATGTTTTATTTTGTTTTATTTTACTATGGTAATTTTTTATGGTTTTATTTTATTTCGATTTTACTATTTGAGTCGAAATAAATTGATTATTTTATTTTTATTGATATTTTTCTTTATTATATATTTTGTTTTCATTTTTATATTAAAATCAAGTACGAACTACAAGAATAGTCCATGTTGTTAGAAGTTTGGGATATAGAAATGTTTGGAAATTTTGAGAATTGTGGTATCACTTTCAGATTAAAGTATTTGGGTGATACTTCCGATCTTTAATCGGATAAGACTCAAAAATTAAGAGCAAGAACAGAAAATCTGGTTGTTATGAATTTCGAGTGTACCATCAAATGAAGACCAAAATTAGTTAAAGGGTTATTGTCATGGAGGCACATGAAAGTTTCACTATTGGTTTTAAGTGACCATCTAACTTTATTTTGGACCTGTTAGACCATTAAACTCGAAATTTATCTTTCTAAAATACCATTTTGTTTAAAGTTAGCAGGTACCTTGCTTATGTGTATAAAGGCTTTTGATAATCAAAGATTTTCATAACCACGTGGACATATCCACGTGGACTAGTTTTCAGTTGATTGTTGACCTCTTTCTAATTCTTCATTTTCTTTTTCATCCCCCTTATCTCCCTCCTTATCATTTTCAAGATGCACAAGAACTGTTAAACCAAGTTCGTCATTGTCGATGAACTTTAAACACCTCACTAAATCCAGCCTAGACATCATCCCCATAAGTAGACCAATCAGTAATGTGACATTGGAACTACTAACGAATCTTATAGCAACGACTATGAATTTCAAACATAAATTACACTAGAATAAAAAAGAGTGTAATTTAACTTACAAAGATTCCCTGGACAAAAGTTCGGAAATTACACTGGCGGAACTTCGGGCTGATAGCTACTAGATATCGAGCTCCTAGGGACTTTTAAACTTGCCAAAATATCCTAAACTCTAAGAAAGATTCAGACCAAATCGAGAGTAATCGAGAGAGAATTGATTTGGAGATGTGTGGAGAAGAATGAACTCAAGACCTCTATTTATAGGCTGATCAGCGACCATGCGCGCTGCGCAAAGGATCGATGTGCTTTCCCGGGTGTGGTGCCACGTGTCGGAATCCGGCTGGTGCTACGCGACGACTTCTAGAAGGCCGTGTACGGGGTGTAGACGCGTGCGACGAATTTTAAACTTTAAAATTACTTAACTTCTTCATACGAGCTCTATTTTTTATGTTATTTATATCCACACGTAGCTATCGACGGGATCTACAACTTTCATTTAGAATCTGTCGGCTAATTTTGACTTTATTTATTTCACACATGCTTAGACTGTTAAAGCATGTATAAGATGCATAACTTTGTCATCCGACGTCCGTTTTCAACTGTCTTCTTATCATTGAAATCCTATTAACAAGATTTTCAACTCTCGTTTAGATTGTTTTGGCTAACAATCAACCGATCTAAAATTCGATATTTTGGCTATTTACTGCCACGCTGAATCTTAAAAAAATCATAACTTCCTCTAATGAAGTCAGATTTGGACGTTCTCTATATGTATGCTCTCGGTTTAATGACTACTACGACTTTTGTTTAGATTACTAAGGCCAAAAAGTAATCTAACGAAAATTTACTATTTACGACCCGCGTTGTCGAATCGGGTCGAATCGCAAAACTTTGACAGACCATTCGTTATAAGTCTGATTAAAGCGCTCCTTATATCCCCGGAATCTTTGTCGCAACTACTTCAAATTTCATCAAGTTTGGCCTAATTATTGTTCTATTTTGGACGGGTATTTTATTCTTAATTTATTATATTGTTGTAAGCACGTATACTATAAATAATCACACATAAATCACATAATACAAAAATAATTTCCTTTTATTATATCAAATAAGTAAAATTGTTGATCCTAATCATCTAATTAATGCCTAGCGAGAAACGTGGGCGTTACAGGGAGGGTAGTTAAAATGGTAGCAGTAGTGGTGATGACAGTGATCAAGGGAGTAACACTGACGATAATGATTTTTTTTGTGGACAAGGACAGTGTATTACATGATGTGCATGTGAACATGAAAGACTTTTAAATGGATATCAACAAGGATATTGAATGATTTGGAGTCTCGTAGATGAAGATACACATGAAGAATAAATTAATGTCATTAACATTGAGGTTCTATTGTCTGGGTCATCCTCAGATGAAGGGATGGGTGGTCAATCGAAAATGTCAATTAGAGCAGTATAAATGCACATGAGAATGATGAAGCTCTTGTTAGTGGTCCACTCTATGATTTTCAAACATTTAGTTATGCAAAGGAGATTGTGGAAATGTTTAACTTATATGTCATAAACACTAGAAGGGAGTTGGACCTTGAAAAATGACAAGAATACGATGCAATTTATGTGTAAGGGAATAATACCAAATCTAGGAAATCTTGGGCCAGAAGAAGAAAAGTGCCATTGGGTCGTATATTATAGTTAATGGAAAAAATGCTAATTTGATGGTTAAACTTCACAACAAAGAGCCTCGATATCTTCAAACTAGAATAATCAAAGCACGTACTTATAAATTCCTCTCAAGTTAGATTGTTGATCAGGTTGAAAGTAACCCTCAAATTACAGTTAGGGATTTTCAAGAACAACTACAACAAAGGTATAAGGTTGGAATGTCTAATATGAAAGCATTTAGGGTAAGATCCGAGGATTTAAATCTTGTGTGATGAGATTATGCTACTCAATATAGTTTGCTGATAGATTACATTCTCGAGCTTCAAACTTGTAACTGTAACACCTGTTTTCCAGAATGGGTCAGTAGAAGACTTAAACGGGTTAAAGATAAGGTTTTTGGAGAAAACCTTATGCCACTACTTGGTGCATGGAAGACCACGATGTGGCATAACACGAATAGATCGCGTGTTCTGATGGACACCACGCCGTGGCAAGTAGGATGCCACGACGTGGTGGCTGCTGCAGCCCAAGCCCATGAGTTTTAGGGCTTCTCTCATATTTAAAGCCTTTAAAGCCAAGTTTAGGGCATCCTCTTCAGCCTCCATTCCTCCTTTTCAAAACCCTAGCCTCTTTTAACATCTCGATTTCCAGGTATTCTACATTTTGACCCTTGGTATGAGTATTATTCGTAAATTTGGTCCCGCATTGCATTTTCGTAATTATTGGGAATTTCTTGAGTACGTTGGGCGTACGTGGTCTGGATCCAAAACCCTATTATTTAGGGTTTGTGCACTATTTAAACACCTTTATAGCCTCATTAATCTTTCCTTCATCAGCCTCCAGACCCATTTTGACCCCTTTGCAAACCCTAATCCATTTGAGAGCAATCTTGACCTTGTTTGTGCATTTTGGTGTTCTTGAAGGAGGAAGAAGGAAGAGGAAACCATCTTAGAAGAGTGGAGCACTTTAGGGTTTGCAAATCCTAATCCAAGTATTCTACATTTTGACCCTTGGTATGAGTATTATTCGTAAATTTGGTCCCGCATTGCATTTTCGTAATTATTGGGAATTTCTTGAGTACATTGGGCGTACGTGGTCTGGATCCAAAACCCTATTACTTAGGGTTTGTGCACTATTTAAACACCTTTATAGCCTCATTAATCTTTCCTTCATCAGCCTCCAGACCCATTTTGACCCCTTTGCAAACCCTAATCCATTTGAGAGCAATCTTGACCTTGTTTGTGCATTTTGGTGTTCTTAAAGGAGGAAGAAGGAAGAGGAAACCATCTTAGAAGAGTGGAGCACTTTAGATCCAGAGTCAAATCATCATTTGACACCATTTGAAGGTAAAAAGCTCTAAACTTGGTGAAGCTATGCTTAGATCTTGTTTAGCCATGGATTTGTGTTCATTTTGGTCCCATAAGATTGGTATTATGAGTACGGGTTACTCTAATTCATATAAGTTGTCCTTTCAGACGGTCTGGAGTGTTTAGAAGCATAAAAAATGTAATCTTGGACCTTAGTTTCCTTCCATGCATGAACTAGGATATCTTAATGAGTTAAGAAGTTAGGGTTTTTGGTATTGAGCACTTAATAGCCATGCAAGACCATAAATTTGGAAACTTTATGGTAAAGGACATCATTTGGGGGCTAGATCTGCATTTGGATGAAAGTGATGGGTTTTATACAAAAGAACATCCTATGTGCTCATGCAAACCCTAAAGCTTGGATCTAGGTTTCTCTATTGTACATGCAATTCATCCAAGACTTGGGAACTCTAGATCTAGTATACAACAATCAATATTATCATAATAAAGAGTTTAGATCTTACCTTTGATTGTTATGTAGCAATAACAATCTATTCCTTCTTGTAAATTGACTTCTGAAAGCTTAGAGTCACAAATGTCACTCCTCTAATGGCTCACAAACACCAAGAGCAAGAGGATGAAGAAGGAGAAGAGGAGAGGCACCCAAAAACGTCTAGAAACCCTAAGGAAACTCTTAGCCACGTTTTTGGTGCCCTAGGGGTCCTTAAATAGTGAGGCTATTAGGGTTATCTAACAAGGAAACCCTAATTTGACTGCTTAGGCCCTAAGCAGCCCATGGGCTCCCTCCTTAGAAGCCTTGGACGATTTCTAATGGGTTTCCCCATAGAATTCGTCTACTCCTCTAATATGGAGTCCATTAGCCCAATATTCAACTATCACACAATTGATAGTTCTAGTCCCCCAAGTTTAATTAATCTCTTTTAGCCACAAAATTAATTTTTAATTAATTATTGACTAATATTAATTAAACAATATGATTTCTCCTTTAATATATTATTCTCATAATATATTAACAAATCATAATTAATCCTCTCTCCATAATTCATCCTATCAAGTTGTTTTGGTGAAGGCAACCCAAAAGGATCATGCACCATCGGGTCAAGTACATACCAAAATAGTTATGGACT